ATGAGGTGGCGTCGATAGGTGGCACTGTGGCACTGATGAGGTGGCATTGATAGGCGGCACTGATGATGTGGCATTGATAGGCGGCACTGATGGGCACTAATAAGGTGCCCTGATGAGCACTGATAACCTGCACTGATGGGCACTGATAACCTGCACTGATGGGCATTGAATGCCACTGATGGGACTGCAATGATAATCAGGGCACTGATGGTCAGTACCCTGATTATCAGAAAACAATGTATTCACTGTGCCCTATCAGACTGGCTGGTTATCAGCTCTCTTTCCTCACATAGAGACAGCGTGTGAGAAAAGGAAATGCCAATAACCAAAAAGTCTGTTTATACAGTCAGGTCCATAAATATTGGGACATCGACACAATTCTAACTTTTTTGGCTCTATACACCACCACAATGGATTTGAAATTAAACGAACAAGATGTGCTTTAACTGCAGACTGTCAGCTTTAATTTGAGGGTATTTACATCCAAATCAGGTGAACGGTGTAGGAATTACAACAGTTTGCATATGTGTTAAGATTAGGCATACCCAAACCCATGAAGCTGAAGTGCTAGGATCGCATGACTTGTCTCATATGCAGCAGAATGCCAGTACTAGTGCCGAACTACCTTTTGGTGAACTGACGAGCACCGGTGGCCCAGTATATCCTGGTCTTTTTTTTATACCAGCACTGCAGTTTCACTTGGTGACGTGGCGAGTCCCATAAGTGCAGTGCAAGCTGGTGCGGTGGTGAGCACAAGTATTGTCCCACAACAACCAAGAATTCGCACACAGGCCCTTAGAGCCCCTAGTGTCCTTTCGGACGTGCTTACAAATCCTGATTGGCAGCCCACATATTCTGCAGCACCCAAACTTTCTCCATTCACTGCCCAACCCGAAATTCAGGTGGAAACAGCAAATTTAACTACTCCCCTTGATTTTATGGAGATGTTTTTCACAGAAGATTTGTACAATTTGATTGTGGGCCAAAGCAATTTATATGCTCAACAATACAGTCAGGTCCATAAATATTGGGACATCGACACAATTCTAACATTTTTGGCTCTATACATCACCACAATGGATTTGAAATGAAAAAACAAGATGTGCTTTAACTGCAGACTGTCAGCTTTAATTTGAGGGTATTTACATCCAAATCAGGTGAACGGTGTAGGAATTACAACATGTGCCTCCCACTTGTTAAGGGACCAAAAGTAATGGGACAGAATAATAATCATAAATCAAACTTTCACTTTTTAATACTTGGTTGCAAATCCTTTGCAGTCAATTACAGCCTGAAGTCTGGAATGCATAGATGCTGGGTTTCATCCCTGGTGATGCTCTGCCAGGCCTCTACTGCAACTGTCTTCAGTTCCTGCTTGTTCTTGGGGCATTTTCCCTTCAGTTTTGTCTTCAGCAAGTGAAACGCATGCTCAATCGGATTCAGGTCAGGTGATTGACTTGGCCATTGCATAACATTCCACTTCTTTCCCTTAAAAAACTCTTTGGTTGCTTTTGCAGTATGCTTTGGGTCATTGTCCATCTGCACTGTGAAGCGGCGTCCAATGATTTCTGAAGCATTTGGCTGAATATGAGCAGATAATATTGCCCGAAACACTTCAGAATTCATCCTGCTGTTTTTGCCAGCAGTCACATCATCAATAAATACAAGAGAACCAGTTCCATTGGCAGCCATACATGCCCACGCCATGACACTACCACCACCATGCTTCACTGATGAGGTGGTATGCTTAGGATCATGAGCAGTTCCTTTCCTTCTCCATACTCTTCTCTTCCCATCACTCTGGTACAAGTTGATCTTGGTCTCATCTGTCCATAGGATGTTGTTCCAGAACTGTGAAGGCTTTTTTAGATGTCGTTTGGCAAACTCTAATCTAGCCTTCCTGTTTTGGAGGCTCACCAATGGTTTACATCTTGTGGTGAACCCTCTGTATTCACTCTGGTGAAGTCTTCTCTTGATTGTTGACTTTGGCACACATACACCTACCTCCAGGAGAGTGTTCTTGATCTGGCCAACTGTTGTGAAGGGGGTTTTCTTCACCAGGGAAAGAATTCTTCAATCATCCACCACAGTTGTTTTCCGTGGTCTTCCGTGGTCTTTTGGTGTTGCTGAGCTCACCGGTGCGTTCCTTCTTTTTAAGAATGTTCCAAACAATTGGATGCCTAATGTTTTTGCTATCTCTCTGATGGGTTTGTTTTGTTTATTTCAGCCGAATGATGGCTTGCTTCACTGATAGTGACAGTTCTTTGGATCTCATCTTGAGAGTTGACAGCAACAGATTCCAAATGCAAAAAGCACACTTGAAATGAACTCAGGACCTTTTATTTGCTCATTGTAATTGGGATAATGAGGGAATAACACACACCTGGCCATGGAACAGTTGAGAAGCCAAATGTCACATTACCCTTAACAAGTGGGAGGCACATATGCAAACTGTTGTAATTCCTACACTGTTCACCTGATTTGGATGTAAATACCCTCAAATAAAAGCTGACAGTCTGCAGTTAAAGCACATCTTATTTGTTTCATTTCAAATCCATTCTGGTGGTGTATAGAGCCAAAAATGTTAGAATTGTGTCAATGTCCCAATATTTATGGACCTGACTGTATGTGACCAGCTGTGATAGGCCCTTTACCATGATCTGTCATCAGCTATATTCAAAGGATACAGAAGTAATAAAGTGCGCATGATGCGTGCCCCAGGTGGCACGGGTCAGGTGTGCATGTGGGAAGACGTCCATGGAAGTCCTTCCATAACAGGATAGCTGCGCTGTTGCCATCTTTCAGCTATAGCCCATTTGGCAAGTGGTTAAACCAACAAGGGCATTTTTTATGGCTACTACTGCTGTTACTGGCTTTACTGGCTTTTTAAAATTACAAGTAATCAATTTAGAGCAAGGTTAGATGAAAACTTTAGTGTTATACATCCAGCAATTGAGGAGCAATGATGGATAGATAGATTTGGTTCCAAAGAGGGAATGTTCCTACAACGAAGAGACAGTTTGTAGCTTTGGAAATGGACAGTTTAGAGGCCCTCTGACTGTGGTTACCATCAAAACTATGTTTGCTTCAGCATATGTGGTAAAATCAAAACTCAAACCTTTTGCAATAAAAAATAGACATGTTAAGAAGCATTGTGAGGGGGTTACTCCTTTCATAGGGCCCTCTGTTTCCTCTTGTACCAAATTATATTGTAACTGTAATGTCTACCTTCATTTTGTAAAGCGCTGCACAAACTGTTAGCGCTATATAAATCCTGTATAATAATAATATAATAATTGGCATACCAAATTTCTCATCATTTCTGTGATGTTGTCACTTTATATGAGAACACATTTTTTTTCCTGAACACTAGAGGGGGCATGTACAAAATAGATTTAGGGTGAGTTACAGGCAAATCATAACATTAGCTATAAGAAAGCTGAAAAACTAGCTGCTTACATTATTCTAGATGAGGTGTTTGGTACAAAAAGCAAATGGTCAACAAGGGTTTGACCTACTTTAAGTCCAAAGACCTTCTTTGTGACAGAATGGTTTCAGTGTATGTCCAGAGCCACACCATTTATAATATCTGCAATTACTTCAGTAGGATTTTAAAAAGTGGGCCTGGTTAACGAAAAAGAAATGCATTCGAGCAGAGAGAAATCGCAGTAAAGATAATTGTACGGTGGATTCATATGAGCTTGCAGACCTAAGAGCACGCAGTAAACACCATTCCTCAATTAATCCAGCAAAATATACTTATGTTCCATACACCTGTTTTATTCCTGTGTGAGCAGAAAATGTGAAAAGGCTGTTTTTGTGCCTTATATGCCATTAAAGTAATGTTTGTGTTAGTATTTTGCCAAGAAAAAATGTACATCAAAAGAATTACGTGCCAAGCACCATGATTGCCCACTAAGGCATGAAACATACACTTGAACTTCGACTATGTCAGTATGCACTTCATTTGATATTGTTTCTGTATGACATGTTAATGCAAAATAATAACTAACACATATCAGATAGTTCCAAAACATTAGAAAAAAAACAAACATTTTCATTTAACCACTTGTCCTCCAGAGGATTTATCCCCCCCCCCCCCCCTTCCTGACCCAGGTAATTTTTTGCATTACGGCGCTGCATTATTACATTAACCTCCCTAGAGGTCTGATTATGTCAGTATTTCTGTGCTCAAAGCGGTACATTTTTTTGCATAGAAATATGTTGTTTTTTTATTGTAGGCTTAGAAGCAATTGAGTACTGACGTGATACTTATTTTATTTGCACTAACATACAATTTTGAGGACAAGCTTTTGGGGAATGTCCCCTTCTTCAAGGTCCAGGCAGTACTACTCACAAAGTTTAAGCAGAATGTTAGAAAAGATGTGGGGGATGAAAGAAAAAAAAAACCTAGAGATAAGACAGCAAAAGCAAAGACTAGGGGGGGGGGGGGGGGGGACAACACTCACAGAGGGAGTCATAAAACTGTTGTATAGTGATTGAGGGATCCCATGTCCAAATTAAGGCCGTTATCTCTTGTGTCAAATAGATATATCATTCTTAGTTCAAAAGTTTTTCTTTCCTGAATGGATTTGATTTCCTTTATTGTAGGCTTGTAATTCTTAGGAATAACTCACTGAAATCTGTCCGAACAAGAGTCTAGTAAACATCCCGGGTATGATAAAATTTAAAACACAAAATCATAAATTATAATATAATAAATAATCATAAATAATAATAATATAATAATAATAAATTTAATTCAATAATGTAATCAAACCAAAAACACTGAAATTTGAAATATAGCGCCAAGTTCGCACATCACTGAGCTTAGTCGCAAAATTGTTTTCAGTGTCTGATGACGAATTTCCCCACAAATCATTTTCACTCAATTCTGCAAGTGGTTCTAATTTACTATCGCTGTTCTCTAGCTGGTCTAAAACCGCTTTTGATCTAAAGGGACACTTTTTGGATGCCATGGACTTTTCTCAGTTTCCAGGCAGAAAGAATGGTAAAAATGCAGGCAGGGCACAGGACAAAGCACTAGGGACAAAATGTATGTGAAATGGTTTCATACAGTAATGTTATACTATCAGATTTTAGTGTATTGAGTGAATGTCACTTTTAAAATTTTTGAATTTCCCGCCGGTTCCATCCCCCGTACGTCCCGACGCTCGCAGGGACCGGAACACGGAAGACGGATGCTGGCATCGGCCGGAGGAGATGGCCGGGGACCCTGTAGGGGCGACATCGCAGGAGCAAAGGACAAGGTAAGTGATCGAAGGAATCCCTGAGCAATGCTGCAGGGTAATCCCGAGTGTAGCTCGGGGTTACTGCTTTTGGTACTTAAAGTTAACCCCCGAGCTACACTCGGGAATACCGCTAGGGAAGTTAACTGACAATTGCACGGTCATGCAACGCTGCACCCAAATTAAATTTACGTCCTTTTTTTTCCCCCACAAATAGAGATTGCTTTTGGTGGTATTTGATCACCTGTGCGTTTTTACTTTTTGTGTTATAAACAATTTTGAGGAAAAAAACTATATTTTTGACTTTTTGCTATTAAACATGTCCAATAAAACTTTTTAAAAATCAAATTTCGTCATAAATGTAGGGACAAAATGTATTCTGCTACATGTCTTTGCTAAAAAAAAAAATCCCAATACATGTAAATTAATTGGTTTACATGAAAGTTATAGCATTTACAAATGGCGGTATATATACTGCAATTTTTTTTTACTTTTTTTTTTTACTAGCGACCAGCGACTTATAGCGGGACTGCGGCAGGTAGTCTGACACTGGGGGAACTGACTTGGTGTCATTGACATCCCCATTGACACCAATACAGTGATCAGTGCTAATAAAAAGTACTGGTACTGTACTAATGGCACTGGGCAGGAAGGGATTAACATCTGGGGCGATCAGAGGGTTAACTGTGTGCTGTTTCACATTATGTGCTGTGTGTGCTTTCCACTGTAAGTACACTGCTTTGTATGGCTCTGCTTTGCAGAGTCATACAAAACAGTGTGCAGGAGCTGACAGGGGAGAGAACTGTATTGCTTGCATACAGTTCTCTCTCCCATCAGTAATACTCGGCGATCACCAGTTGCCAGTGAATAATCACCATCTGGAACCCGGTGATTGACAGCTGAGGTCGTGAATGGCAGCATGGGTAAGTAAAGTGCGTAGCTCATGCGCCCCCTACCTGGAACTGCAAACTCACGTATATATATGTCTTTTTGCGCATCCGTGTGCTGTGTATGTTTTACTATGAGGCTGTGTGTGTGCTTTCCACTGTAAGGACGCTGCTGAATAATAATAGGCTGACACTCTGGGATTCTTCTTTACCTCATGCAGCATTCTGTGCTGTGCTCTTGCAGTCATTTTTACAGGACGACCACGCCTAGGGAGAGTAGCAACAGTGCTAAACTTTCTCCATTTGTAGACAGTCTGTCTTACCGTGGACACATGAACATCAAGGCTTTTGGAGATATTTTTGTAACCCTTTCCAGCTTCATGCAAGTCAACAATTCTTGATCGTAGGTCTTCTGAGAGCTCTTTTCTGCGAGGCATGGTTCACATCAGACAGTGCTTCTTGAAACCAGTAAACCCAAAACAGGTGTGTGTTTTTTAAGGGCAGGACAGCTGTCAGCAACACATACAATATCATCACACTGATTGGAGTCAAGGTTGGCTCACTCCTTACTCCAATTAGCTCTGGGAGAAGTCATTAGGCTAGGGCCTCACATACTTTTTCCTCCCTGCACTGTGAATGTTTACATGTTATGTGCAATTAAACCATGGCAACATCTAATGTTTGTGTAGTATTATATTCAGCAGACTGTGTTCTTCTATTGTTGTGACTTAGATGACGTTCAGAGCACATTTTATGCCGAATTCATGCAAAACTCCACGTAATCCCAAGGGATTCACATACTTTTTCTTGCAACTGTATATATATACGTGATTTTGTGCACCCCTGCCACCCTGTACCAGTATTTCTGCTATAGGGTGGATTGGAAGCGGTTAAGGTATCTCACCATCTAGTGGGCTTGCATTTGGTTGCCAAAATTGTGATCTGATCTGATATGCTACTTAGTAAATTAGTAATTAATAGCTATCCATTCAATTAATACATACCAATTAAATATCAAGAGCTATAGGATACGATTACAAATGTTAGTATCATATAGAAACAAATGGATACTGGGAGAAGTAAAATCAAATCAGACCATAGATATAAACATTCTGGATAGGTGTCTTATAAAAGGTGACATACAAGGAAAGCAGAAGAAAGCTGCATACTGGCAATGTTAAAAAAAATAATTGCTCTTATCTATGGGTTACTCACTTTTCAAGGATATATATGAACAGAAAAAAGAAAACCCCCAGTATATTTATATACTGATCAAATGTACAGAATCTGGAACCTAAAAAGGAAATCAGGATAATAGTTTAAAATTTACACTGCTCAAAAAAATTAAAGGAACACTTTGAAAACAAATCAGATCTCAATGGGGAAAATATCATGCTGGATATCTTTATTATATTATTATTATACAGGATTTATATAGCGTCAACAGTTTTCTCAATGCTTTACAATATAAAGAGAGACAATACAGCAACAATACAATTCAATGCAAGAGGGATAGGAGGGCCCTGCTCCTCGAAGCCTACAATATTTAAACTGATATGAACTAGGTAATGTGTTAGGAACATAAGGATGCCCCATCATTTGATGGAAATGAAAATTATGAACCTGCAGAGGACTTAATTTAAAGATACCCCGAAAATTAAAGTGAAAACATGATGCAGCAGGCTAGTCCATTTTGCTGAAATTTCATTGCAGCAACTCAAAATGTTACTCAGTAATTTGTATGGCCCCCACATGCTTGTATGCATGCCTGACAACATTGGGGCATGTTACTAATGAGACGATGGATGGTGTCCTGGGGTATTTCCTCCCAGATCTGGACCAGGGCCTAACTGAGCTCCTGGACAGTCTGAGGTGCAACCTGGCAGGGTCGGATAGACCGAAACATGATATCCCAGAAGTGTTCTATTGGATTTAGGTCAAGTGAGCATAGGGGCCATTCATTGGTATCAATTCCTTCATCCTCCAGGAACTGCCTGCACACTCTCGCCACATGAGGCCGGGCATTGTCGTGCACCAGGAAGAACCCAGGACCCACTGCACAAGTGTATGGTCTGACAATGGGTCCAAGGATTTCATCCTGATACCTAATGGCAGTCAGGATGCCATTCTCTAACCCGTAGAGGTCTGTGTGTCCCTCCATTGATATGCTTCCCCGCTGACACACCACCAAAACAGTCACACTGAACGATGTTACAGGCAGCATAACGTTTTCCACAGCTTCTCCAGACCATTTCACATAAGTCACATGTCCTCAGGGTGAGCCTGCTCTCATGTGAAAAGCACAGGGTGCCAGTGGCGGACCTGCCAATTCTGGTGTTCAATAGTAAATGCCAATCGAGTTCTATGGTGCTAGGCAGTGAGCACAGGGCCAACTAAAGTGCTTCCACACTCTGTGCTTAGTTCTACCCACACAATGTAGACCACATGGGCATGCCAAGCAATATACTACACATTCTGATGCACATGTGTAGAACTCCTGGATTTTATATGTTTTATCTTTGATGGAGAAATCTTTTTGGCTGTGTGTGACGAATTTGCTCGTTTAAACAGCATGGTTTACAGCATTAATACATTCCTATAATGGAGAAAAACCTAAGAGAAGAAGACTTTGTGTTTTGGATTTCAATTTACTGGGTGCTATTCTGCTCTTAATGTTACAGGCTTTCCTTTTAAGTCTCACTGTAGCATTTAGCAAATGCAGCAGGTGAGGAGGTTCGGATGGCGCCAAGCTATGCTCTGTGTGTTATAGACATACAGAGCTGGCTCAGGAGTGATCACGCATGAGTTCCCCTCATAGCAAGTTGTTTGCTATGGTGGTAAAAGCCAGGAGCACTGGCGGAGCACCCAAGAAGAGGAGGATAGGGGATGACCTGTGCAAAATCATTGCATAGAGCAGGTATGTATGACATATTTTCTCTTTTAAAGAAAAAAAAATATGGGTTTACAACCACTTCAAGAGTGTTCAATAGGACCTTAACTTAAATCAGGGAATTCAAAGTTTCATTGACTGAATGCATGCTTCAGCTGATAGTAAAAATAGTGGACCAGATAAAGTATTGTTGGCAGGGGCGGACTGACCATTTGGAATCTCGGGCGCTGCCCGAGGGCCCGGGGTCAGTAGGGGGCCCCATGAGATGCCCCTGGTACCTTTTTTCATACGTTTTTTTGAGTTGGGCAAGGACACAGGGGCCCCATGATCTCCTATTGCCCAGGGGCCGCATGAGTTGTCAGTCCGCCCCTGATTGTTGGTACACCAAATATTTGTCACATGGAAACCTGCTTTTTTTTGAATACACCAAATACATTGCCATTTAACCGCTTCCAGAAATACTGCTACAGGATGGTATGTGTTCGCAAAATCATGTATATATTATATGTGATTTTGCAGTTTCAGGTAGGGGGCACGTGTGAGCCACGCACGCGCCTTACCCACGTCACCATTTGCAGCCTCAGCTGTCAATCACCGGGTCCTGGCCGGTGATTACTCACCGGCAACCGGTGATCACCGAGTATTCCAACGGGGGAGAGAGCTGTATGTAAACAATACAGTTCTCTCCCCTGTCAGCTCCTACACACTGCTTTGTATGACTCTGCATAGCAGAGCCATACAAAGCAGTGTGCTTACAGTGGAAAGCACACACAGCACATAATGTGAAACAGTACACAGCACACAGTTAACCCTCTGATCGCCCCAGATGTTAACTCCTTCCTGCCCAGTGCCATTAGTACAGTGTCAGTGCTTTTTATTAGCACTGATCATTATATTGGTGTCACTGGGGATGTCAGTGACACCAAGTCAGCTCCTCCCAGTATCAGAATGCCAGCCACAGTCCTGCAGTCCCACTATAAGTCGCTGATGGTCGCCATTACTAGTAACATAAAAAAATATTGCAATATATATATCATTTGTAGATGCTATAATTTTCACGTAAACCAATTAATTTACACGTATTGGATTTTTTTTTTTTAGCAAAGACATGTAACAGAATACATTTTGGCCTATATTTATGATGAAATTTGATTTTTAAAATTTTTTTATTGGACATGTTTAATAGCAAAAAGTAAAAAATATTGTTTTTTTCTCAAAATTGTCGGTCTTTTTTTGTTTACAGCACAAAAAATAAAAAACACGCATAGGTGATCAAATACCACCAAAAAAAAAGCTCTATTTTTGGGAAAAAAATACATAAATTTAATTTGGGTGCAACGTTGCATGACCACGCAATTGTCAGTTAAAGTAACAGAGCGTCGTAATGCAAAAAATGGCCTGGTCAGGAAGGGTGGTAAATCCTCTGCAAGGCAAGTGGTTAAAGGGTTTCAAATGAAAGTTAGTTAAAAAGAATCCCAAGTGCCACACAAATAGTCTTACAATCCTCATCAAACAAATAATAGTACAGAAAATGAGTTTGGAAACATTTGGCACAATAGAGGTGTGCAGTAGTACGCCAGGAGAATGAAGGTGCAAGGAAGTTTCACATTCTACTATGCATCAAATAAAATAATTAAAGTTTTTTTTGTCATTTAATGTGCCAAAATAAGATGTCATGTGTAATAATTAGCATTTCTCAACAACCACCAGTTTATCTGGCCCAGAGTCTTCATTCTAGTACAGAGCACAGGCAGCAGCTGGCGTCCTATTTCGATGAGTAAATTAGGCCCAAAGGGGAGATACTACTAAACCTTATGATATCAATCAGTATAGCACTGGGAAACTAGAGATTGTGGAATTTGAGCACAGTAACCTTTTGACTTCACCTTTTAAATAAAATCCTTTATCTAATCTTTGATTTTTATAATACAATTCTCATAACATTCTGTTCACTCAAATTGAAAATGTTAATTTTTATAATATGATTTTGGTAAATTAGTTTTTGATACTTCTATGTCAAGCATCATACTATCTGTATTTTTTTTGTCAGTTTCATTTAAATGTCATCAAATTACTTTTTTCATGCAGCTGCCTGTTGAACAAACCAGTGCTTTGTGATGTACTGGGATATGGTTGCTATGATGGGGTTCTTCTATCATTGTCTGGAGCACAGATGCAAAGCAAAGGCATCTTTTTTTTATCAAACCACAAAAGCATCGCACTTTGAACCAGTTTATCTCTCCACAGTCATGTTTGCTTTGTTTTCCCCAGGAAAGCTTAGAACCTCTCTGCTTGATCTTCAGGTGAATGTTATTATTCTATACTTCCAAGAAGCACTGCTAGTAATTAATTCACACATTTAGGCCAAATGCAATGATTCATATGTAAATGACATTCAGAATTATATGCATAAACTCTGCAAATAAACATATCAACATAAGCACACAAGCAACCTAAACTTTAAAAGAGAGATAAACGCATTAGCATCAATGAGCACCTGGCAATCATTATATGACACATCTGTATTTCTCTATTCCATTGAAAACTCCAAACCGCATTTTTACCAATGGGTAGAATCAGACGGGTAGGATATATTTGGTTACTTTTTACTCCAGAAATGTAAAAATGCGTGACGATAAATGTATGCAAATATTTTTTCTGTTTTCCTTACTTAACAAGCCACAGACCTGACACAAGGTTATGCGTGTCATCTGTCGCAACCCTTCACTAGCTGCATGCTGGTTTTGGGTCAGTGTCTCTGTATTAAAGCAAATAGCAAAATGATAGCACTGAAGTTTGTACCTTGAAGAACAAATCTCAAATAAGAGAACAATTTATTGCTCTGAAATAATTTCCAATTACTTGTATCTATGATTTTAAAGATGATTAACGTGAAACATTTTCTTAAACATGAAGCATTAACAGGGTTCTATATAGTCAAACTTTGGATTTGATCAAATATTAGAAAGTTGACATTTATGCATTGTACATTTGGTAACAAATGCATCCCCTATATTGGCCTTTCTTACCCTTTTTACCAAGAATTCAAATTCAAATTTATCAAAATAAAAATAAATACAAAATGATTGAGACTTCAGGGAACCCCTGCAAAAAGTATTATATCTACAGCTCTACATTACCATGATCCCATACATTTGATAATTGTACTGTCCTTTTACATTGGTGGCCAGTGGGAGAGGTGTCCCCTAACATTGGTGGTAAGTGGAAAGGTGCCTCCTTACACAGGGGGTAGTATAGTGCTCATATATTGGTGAACATGGCAGTTCCATTTTACATTAGTGGCCAGTGGAAGAGATGTTCCTTACATTAGTGCAAGTGGAAAAGAATACCCCTACATTGGTGAACGCAAGAGGCCTTTACATTGGAGGTCAACGGGATGCTTAACTTAAAGGTCAGTGGGAAGAATGCCCCTCTTACCGACAGATGAAAAGATTATTGGATTCAGTGGCTAAATATCTGAGAAACAAGAGGGGAGAGTCTACTGGTTTCATGCCACTGGCTCTCCTGTATCACATTGGTGCTGAATTTAAGCAGGGACTCCTGGGGATGAAATTGATACACCACTGCTCACTGCTGAAAGACCAAACTCACAAATTCTGGAAAAACCCTAAGGTTCCACAGAATCTTTGTTGAGAAAGACTTTGCAATATTAATATTATAATGTTCATAGTACTGTTTTGGTCTTTGCTAGCTATATTTTGAGTAAAAGTGAGCAGATACAAAATAATGTTACCCCAGTTATATATTCATTACTAATTTATGTTTTTTAAATATGTTACAAACACAATATAAACATATTGTATGCTCAAAGGCACAGAAATGAAGCGCACACAAGTTGGGCAGGCAGACGCTATTCGGGCCCCTGCCCCTTTGTCAACTTTAGTCCAACATCTACACACAGACGGCTTTTAACCTGGCAAAAAAGGGGAACAACCTTCATTCAACTGCAGGAGGCCTAATTGAGGCTCTTTGGAGAAGCCAACATTATGTAGCCATTAGCGGAACTTTACAAAGCCAGCAGTGGTGCTGTACGTAGTCCTAACCTCTTTTGTTAGTGAACAGACCTGCAAGATACTCTGCTTGGGCCACATCAATCAATTTCTCATCATAAACGTTCTTGAGAAACTTGGTTTTTAAAAACAGGGGCAGTATTAGAAAAAATTACACAATCAATGCACAACCAATAAAAAAATTGTGGGAAATTAAAAAAAAACACAAAAAAAGATCTAAATGCATCACAGGCTATCTGCCAAAAAAGGAAAACAATTCTTGTATCAGCAGCGAAACAGATAAAAAAAGAAGGGGACTATCAGCCACCATCAATCAGCTCAAAGATATCAGCGAACTACAAAGCACAGCAACAGCATCTTTATAACTTAAATCAATTCATACATATCCTTAATTATGAAGCATAAAATCAATTCCTGTATTACGTATAAATTGTACAAAACAACTCATGTGTCAAAAGCAGGGGCAGTCCTGAAAAGAAAGAGAATTGCAACCACCATCTGTCAGCTAAAAATACTAGCGAACTACAGAGCCCAGCAACTTGATGTTTTTACATAGTTTAAATCATGCAAATCCTTATTTAAGCAGCATAAAATGATACATTCATATGTTATATATGAATGTATATGAATTAATTCATGTTATATATGAATTATACAAAACAAATGTTAATTGACGGATATAATCATATTATCAACTAATAAAAAAAACAAGAAATAAATTTAAAACCACAATTAAAAACTATATAGAATTGTATAGTTGAAATTATTTCAAACATAGAAAACACAAAATATGTATAAAAATTTCTCAATCTATAGAAAAAATGTAATTAATCACCAGTAGGAACACATACAGATGAAGTGGAACCACCTGCAAATGAAAAGAAAAGGACTAGTCTCTTTTAATGTAGTATAATATTAATGTTTTAATGGTATGTATTTTTATAGAAAAAATATTTAATACATTTGTAAAGAATGCATCTCATCTTATTTGTCTAAATATGAATCTATGAACATTTTATATTGTATAAGTTATACTTTATATGATGTGTTTTAATAAAATATTAATTATGTGTATCTCTTTTTATTTATTAAATAAAGTAAAATGATTAAAAATATATTAACTGATATTGTTTTTTTTTTTTCTATTATTAGAAAGCAAATTATTTTAAAAAGCTCTCTACACATTGAATAAACAATGTGAAACTGAGAGTATATTATTCAGATAGTTAAATTCCCTAAAAAACAAACAGAGCCAAAGTGGAACTTATGAGTCTAAATGATGGTGTGGACCACATTTGGCCTGTTAGAGGCTAAGGACCCTAAAGATCCAAAAAGTCTCCGCAAACAGAGCTTGTGAAACATCACTGCAAACAGGAGACTGGCAAGGATCTGCTCTATGACCCAGACTCAGAGGCCCTCAGGGGACCGACATTGGTGTGCGGTGAGGTGTCAGGGAACACTATGGCCCACATCACCCTCCTTGATTAGTCTCCTGTGGTCCCTGAATCTGGCTTTGACAGTGGGTATGGAGCAGCGCAAATAAAGGAGGCCACAGGAACATCTAAGACCATTCACCACAATCAGTACTACATGTGAAGTATGTGGTAATGGAGTACTCTTTCTCTTTCGAGTCAGAAAATGGTGCACAAAGGAACACATTTTTCGGGGCTTCTTCTTACACTGGAAGATACCTTCCAGTCTGCAAAAAGTAGTCATAGGACAGGATGAAGATCTAGGAACTTCTTTTATTTTACTTTGGGCAATAATGTTTTTGATATTTTGGGCTTTTTTTGTATACAAACTGGACTTTAGGGGGAATCACCAACTTAAATTTTGGATCTTTAGTTAATATAGTACAGTGTTTGGATATAATCCATACATCTGTCTGTATTTGCTGTGAAAGTTGGTAATACATTTCAGATCTGTTTGTAAGCACTGTACATGGTCCTTTGTTAGT